GTAAACACCAAAAAAAACACCTTTTGCATATTAACATGCTCAAAAGACTCGGAACATCTTAGCAACCACATTTGCTCAACAAGTTAGTTAAAGTCAACATGTTTTAAGCTAGCTGAGTAAAAAACACATAGCTGCAAAATTTAAAGGCACAGACATTTGAAGGAAACTTTATTTGCCCCTTTGAATACTGAGGTTTATTACCACCAGATCAAAGTAATTGCATCTGCAATTACACATATGAAATAAGTATGTCTCTTAGGGTCTGATAAATACTTTAATTCTCATCAAATGATAAGTTAAACTTAAAAGCAATTACAGCTTGTACAGCTCGTACAGCTTGCTTTTAATAGCTGGTAAACATGGTGTCCTTCAGACAAGAACTAAGTACATTCAATTGAGCCTTTAAGTTTTGTAAATGTGTCTCACGTGCTGGAGATCAGCATCATTATGCGGCCTATCAATTATCATTTGATGTTGTGTAATCATAACATGTACAAAGCCCTGCAGCAACTGCTATCCTGTTAACAGATAAATAGGTTTATTTTGAGACATGAAAAGGTTTGACAGCAAGCAGTATTTAGAACAAATAGATGAATGTCATTGCATGCTAGGAATGTTTAGTGAAGCCAATCTTTATTGTCTTTCCCTAAGCAGCCAGAAAGGTTTCTAGTTGTGCTCTGTGTTTGTGTGACTGCAATTCCCATAGCTTGGCTCAGGTAAAAGGTCACAGTCCAGGTGCACACCTGGAGGATGTCACTAATGCTAATGCAAATCCTCATGCTTTTGCAGCTCCACGTCCCCATCTGCCTTTTTTAATACTTCCCTCGGTGGAATGCAGGAAAACCGCCAGGGTGACATGTGCGCTCCGTCCCATAATTTCGTCCCCTCTGCGTAGCGACCACTCTCCTTTAAAGCCATGAAGTGGTTTCTAGGCCTTCTAACTGCTTTAAAGGGGAGTAAAAATAAACCCTGGAGACACATGTGCTTTCCATTTGACTCAAAGGAGGAGGTGAGGGGGGGTGGTAAAGAAAGAAAGAAGCACTCATTGTGACCTATTTACTTTGAGTTGTTATGATTAAGTCTAAACCAGCATGCAATTTACAGATTATTCCCTTTAAATAAGAGGGTACGCTCGACACAAGAAAGGGCCCGAGATGAGTGAATGAGGGGGGGAGTGGCTTTTTTTTTCAATGAAAGAAAAGTTAAATATAACCCATGCCACATGAAGATAGCCCAAAATAGCGTATAAACCAATGGTATAGCACATCATATGGAAGGCATACATATGTTTAACTTCTGTCAAAAGATTGAAATGACATGCTAATTGAAATGCACCCTCTCGGCATCCCTATAAATATCACACACACAATGTAGAATATAACCATAATTAAATTTTTTAAATAAAAAACCCACCAAATATATATATAAAAAAAAAACTTTTACATTTTCCAAAGAAAATAAGTGGTGCTTGCCTGTGCAAAACTCCCGCCACAATGCTAGTGGGTTCTCAAGTTGTGTCTCAAATAACGCACTATACACTATGCACTTATACTATGCACTATGTACTCAACCATCTAGTGTATGAATGTTATAAGGCTATTTTGTCATCCAACTAAATATTATGATAGCGCCTCCCGCTCATAAAGAAAGTGCATGAAGTGTTCAATATTCCACACATTTTCGGTTAATGAAGTGCACTTTCTTGTAGGAATTTCCAGTCAGAACACACTAATCGCACTACTTGTTCAACAAAAAGGCAAAGGATAGTGCATAAAAAAGAGAATCGGGATGCACCTTGAGTGTTTGTTTTTAGCATGTTGCTGTTCTAAAGGTGTAGTTGATCGCTAGAGTGTGTTTAGTGCGTTCGGAGAAATTGCTAGGTGATTGCTGCTATGGGGTTCCGAGTGTTTTTAGCACATCATTATGCTAAGACTATGTTTGTGATATATAGTGTTGCTAGCATGTTCTGAGCGACTGTTAGGTGGTTAAGAGAGATTCAAATCGTTTTTAGCACATTGCTATGCTAAGGCCATTTTTTATATTTGCTAGTGTTCTCTGTGATTGCTTTAGAATATTCTGTGTGGTTTTTAGCATGCTAAGTGTGTTCTGTTGTTTGCTAGAGTTGTGCAAAGGTGTTCTGAGCAATCGCCTAGTGGTTAAGAAATTCTGAATGATTTTTAGCACATTATTATGCTCAGACTGTTCTTGATATCTGCTAGAATGTTGCTAACATGTTCTGAGTGATTGCTAGGTGGTTAAGTTCTGAATGTTTTTAGCACAATATTATGCTAAGACTGTTCTTGATATCTGCTAGCATGTTGCTAACTTCTGAGTGAATGCTAGGTGGTTTCTAAGAGAAGTTCTGAGTGTATTTAGCACATTATTATGCTAAGGCCACTCTTGATATTTGCAAGAGGGTTCTGAGCGATTGCTTACTCTATTGCAAGTGGATTTTTTTCCACCAGTTTTATCATCCACATTAAAATCATAAGTCTGATCGCAGTAAGTTACACAGCAAATTTTAGCACTGTAAGTGTCAACAACACTATTAGCGCATTAGCAAGTGCCACTTATGATAAGATCCTATAAAATGCCATTAGGGATTGCTAATCGATTAATCTTTCAAAACACTGCTATCTCATGTTCAAGTCAAATGTTGCAGTGCATATAGACATTGTTGCTTTAACCATTTATCTTGGCCGTGAGTGACTCAGTGTTCAAATAAAGAAACTGTGTTTAATCAATATCCTTGGACTAAGGAGGGAACATGCCTTATCTTTAAGCTATACGCCAACTAGGGGATTTAGAGATAATATTTAAGACAACATAGTGATAGTAGCTTCCACCTAACTACTAATGATTAATCTTTATGTGATTCTAAGGGAAGACACTGTTTCCCATCTGATGCACTACAATAAATGTGATTACCATTCAACAAATGGTGTGTAAACATAACCTCTCAAAAAAAAATTGTGTACTGACATATGGTCAGGGGTTAAATTAGGCCAGAATAATCCGGAACAACATTCCGGCATCTTCGATTCACAAAACGTTTTTTAAACCACTACGGACATTTAATAAGTATATTCTCTTTAAAAAAATGTAACCTCTAAATTTTAAATGCTAGCATAAAAGAGCAAAGTAGCATCGGACGTTTGGCATGCAAATTCCAAATATGCGGACTACAAAAGTTCAGGACAAAACTAGATGAACTTGTTCGCATAACGTCTGACATGCTCATTCATGTATTCGGCCTAAAGAAAGCAAGGACATCCTGTTCCGTACAGTTTTTGTTTTAAGCAGAGATCATGCGAGGCCGTGCCACGGATGCCGCGGGGCATTGTGGAATCTGCGTGCAGACAGTTTTTACCTGAGACAGGTAATCGCAGCAGCCGTGTGCCAATTCCTGTTCTAATCTTAACTCTCTCGCCAAACAAGTTTTAAGAGGCTGGGAACAATCAAAAGACAAAGTGTGCAGTTCATTAAAGGTGCAGCTTTTATCCACACACTCGAGTAGGAACACTGTCCATCTTGGACAACCAGTCGTGTTGGCTTATAGTAGATGAAAGCAAACTTTGGCTGTTAAAGGATTAGTTCAACCAAAAATTTAAATCGTGTCATCATTTACTCACCTCCATGTCATTCCAAACCCATAATGACTTTCTATTTTCTGTGGAAAACTAAAGGGGATATTTTGAAGCTGTTACAAATGCTTTTGTTCAAAATGGACTAAAGTATTCATTCATAATCTTAAATTTTGACTTTGTATCTTGTAATTGCGACTTTGCATATCTCAATGCATATTTACTCATGTAAATTCATATTTACATATTTAAACACACTGTCTCTATGTATACGTGTATGTGTAATTAAATAATTTATATATATATATATATATATATATATATATATATATATAGGTATATAATGTGTATGTATATATACATACACATATAGATAAATATATATATATATATGTTCAATATTAATTAATATATGTATATACACACACACAGTATATAAGTAAAAAAGTAAAACCTTTTACTTGTAATTGTGACTTTATCTCAAAATGCAACTTTATTTCTCACAGTATGACCTTTCTTATTTTAAACTTAACCTCTTCTTATTTAACTCTGAGGTGAAAACGGTCTTCAATAGGTTTGTATTGGCATGAGGGTTTTTCGGGTTAAATGTCCCTTTTAGAGCTTCTGTGAGCTGGATTCCAGATTTGTATCAACTAGATCAGGAACAGGTGAATCCCAGCTACAAATGAGCCCTTGGCAAGGATTAACGGCTTACATTTTCCCACTGTTTTCCCACTAAACTGGGACAGTTGAGAACAAGAGCATCTTCCCTTAGGCCCGATTTGTTTTAAACCCCCAATTTGAATGAGAGCTAGAGATTGGATGTGATAAACTGTGATGTAGACTGAATCTCAACCAAAACAGATAAGAACTAAGGCTTGTTTTAATCCAAACATGCGGTGTTAAAGAAAGCCAAACATCCTGATAACGTTAAGGGAACGTCTGTTCCAAAATATCATGAGAATGGGAGAAATGGGTCTCCTCAGCTATTTAACAGACACCACGGCTTTAAGAGCCAAACCAATGTTCACTGTTAAGTTTGCTCTTGTGGTCCATATGTTTTGCTTGCGCAGCTTTTAGGAAAACCTCTGGTCCTGTATAACTCAGAAATGACCAAATAAACCAGATAGTTATACCATTTTAAATAGCACCAGAGTTATTGGTACAAAAAACACCTGTTAGAAAATACAGCCTCAAACAGACTGTTAGTTTTTAAAAGTTTCTGAAAGTTTCTTCAATTATTCTGTTCCCAAACAGAAAGAGAGAAAGAAAAGAAAAAAGAGCACATGTGAAACTGATCATAGCATATTACCTTATATGAGGTCAAAAGTACAACCTCCTGCTTGGAAGACAAATTTCTAGGATTCTCTGAAGCAAAACCAATACTGTAAACATTACGGGGCTTTATTACATTACAAAAAGGGTCAGGTGAACATCCATGGATGAAAGCAGGTCTTTCCCTCCCTCTGGGCGAGCAGCTGTCAAAGCTGCAAGGTGCACAAAATACGACAAAACTCTCACGGTTCTCTGCAGAGATGCTTGTCTTGGAATGACGAATCTGAAAAATGCACAGAAAATGCAAAGATTTAAACAGTATTGCTAACAAATCTTTCTAGAGTTGCATTAATATTTTCAGCTTTTTGAGGCGTAGTTAAACTGTAAAAAATAATAACAAATAAATATATTTATAATATATAAATCTATGTAAAGAAATAACTTTGCAAACATTTATGAATATAAATTGTATAAATATAATAAATGCATGCGTGTGTGTGCATATATATTTTAAAATAATTTATATATTTATTTTTATATATGCATATAAATATACCTTTATACATTACACATACTATAGACATACTATGTCTATATAAATAATGTGTAATGTTATAATGTGTATATACAGTTTGTTTATATATATATATAAATATGTGTATATATATATATATATATATATATATATATTAGAATATATACATATTCTATTTAAATATAATCAAATATATGAACATATATAATACATTAAATATATGAACATTACAATACAAATATGAATACATAAATATTCATTCTAATATATATATGAAATATAATAAATATACAAACATTAAATTACATGTATTTTTATGTGTATATAAATGTACATGGATTTGATATGCATATCTAAGTAATATGGAATAAATATAATGTTTCAATATTAAATAAAACAGAACACACACACACACACACATATATATATAAAAATGCTCAATAATATAATTGTATAAATTGACTAATTTTCATAATATTTTCTCAACATAACAGAGAAGTCCAGTAAGTATCTTGAGCAAGAGAGAAGGCCCATAGTCATGAAGAAATCATGTTTTTGTGGTTGGTAACACGGATAATAATGAAGTTCATACACACAGCTGGGTGAAAATCAGAGAAAGGCAAATGCTCAAATATTGCAAATTGATGTTCCCCGTGGAGCGTTGTCTCGGATTAGTTTTGCATGTTTTGTTTACCAGATGTCTGAGCGTCAGCTTGGAATGCCCGTCTTCTTTTTATGCACCATAATCAATCTCAGACATCAAAAAAGATAAAATCATGTTGACATTGAGTAATCCAGTTAGCATGTTTTCCGTCTTTCCTGTAATAGCTGCGATCTGCGTTTGATTCTCTCCAGATACCAGGACGACTGGGTACAGGCTGCCGAAAATAAATGGATGTTGGAGATGGACACATCTTGCACCTGTATGTCGGAGGCCTGTTACTTCTACAGTTACAGCAACAACACAAGGCCCTCAACATCCAGCGGCTCTCCGTGGGCATTTGACCCGCTACCAGGAATATAACAGTAGGTACGAGGGGGCCTGAATCCGTTCTGTTTGTTTTTCCAAATTCTGCTACGATCTGAAGCTGTGAATTAGCTCCAGTTTGATCTACACATGAGCTCTCGCTAAGAACATCGAAAAAAATAACACGGCCCGGCGAGGAGCATTCCGCGCATGTTTGATTTTCCCTCAGAAAATTGCGCGCTTCAAAGGAACGCTCTACGACGAACGGGACATAATCTTACCGAAAAGATCTCACCTTACATCACTGAAATAACAAACTGATTTTTATTGAGCCAAAAAAATAATATTATTTCCTCAGCACAAACCAATAACTGTATTAGTACAATTTTCAACTGGGAGGACAGACCAGAACGTACGGCCGCCGTGTTGAAGATTCCCACGAGAAACTGTTACGTTTGTTTGTTCTTGTTCTGGTTCTTCCAGTGAAAGTGTACATTAATCACATGGGCCACCGACCAAAACATACACTTACAAATATTCATACCATTTCGCTTGTTTTGTCATCCTGTTGACTTTTGTCATGCTATTAACCCTCAGAACGCCTCGCTACGTCAAACACCTGGTCTGGAATTACTCCAGGCATGTTAGCTTGTCATAAATCAACAAAGTATTTTTACACAAATTCCTTGAATCAAAAGTGTGTAGCAGATATCAGCTTTCAGTGAAGTGCAACAACTCGGAACATTTCTGATTTGAAAATGAAACTATATGCAAAGGTAATTTACGTCATGAAAGTACCAAACTACAGTGCTTCATGGTTCCACTGTAAATCCAATACTAACCCATTGGACAGTGATGAATTAGTCCATTTTTGCTGATGTCGTAATTACCGGCTGTGTCCAAAATTGCCCCCATAAGCCTTAAATATGGCACTATTTGAGGGCACAGCCATTTGTAGTGGTGTCCGAAACCATAGTGGATGTTATCGAGTGCACTCATTCAATCCCATAATGCACCACAATAACAAGTGTACAACCGATGGACGCTCAACGGCTAGAGAATACCCATAATGCACTGTGAGAGTCACGCGCGCCGAATGAATTCCCGTGTCTGACCCGAAGGCGCCACCGCATCCATTCATTTTCCAAATCGCTGGTCCAATGTGGCTACACCATAATATCATACAGGTTTAAATTCCTTTTTAATTGATTATTACATTTTAATTAAGGTTTCCATGACAGAGTTCAAGATAAATATTTTCATCTTACTACTGGTGCTGCCAGTTTCAAATGATTATTAAACAGCAAGCACAAACTACGCAAAACCCTTCCTGCACATTCAGTGTTCCAATTCACTCACTCGTTTTCATTCACTCCCTCAAGTGAACTACATTAGTGGACTAATGTAGGGAATAGTGAATGAGGGTATAGGGGGTGATTTCGGACACATCCCGTAATTTCGAGATGACAACACGTGGCGTTCTACTCTGAGCTGTTCAATTATGCGTTTCAATGGAAACATAATCAACGCCTAAATGAATCTATAACGTCAGGTGGTACAGCGGTCACATGGTACAAGTAGGAGCTCTCTGAAAATTCCAAGTTGTAATTATAAGGTCTACGAGGAGTCGGACTTGAACACTTTTTACAAGTTGAAATCTCGTAATTACAATAATGATGACATTGCGCGTACACTTTTAGTTTTTGCGCAAACTTTACTTCAAACTTTGTAGCACCAAGGTCAATATTTGATGGCCCCGACACTACACGTGATTTCTCCTCTTGTACGTCTGCGGAAATGACAAAGTTTTTTATTAACGTAAACTTAGGGTTGTTAAAACATTAAAATAATTGATCGTGATTAATGCAACATCATCGTTACAAAACTTCGTATCTTAAAGGGATAGTTCACCCAAAAATGAAAATTCTGTCATCATTGCCTCAAGTTGTTCCAAACCAAATCTGCTAAACACAAAAGAAGATATTTGGAAGATTGTCAGTAACCAAACAGTTGATGGACCCAATTGCCTTCCATAGCATTTTTTTTTAGCATGCTATGGAAGTCAATGGGGCCCATCAACTGTCTGGTTATCAACATTCTTCAAAATATCGTCTTATATGCTGCACATGCTAATCTAAAATAATGAAAAATTAAGAAATTCAGTTTAACATTATTTGAAAGATATTTTGCGCCCCCTCTTGAATGTCTACCAAGGTCTGCTAGTGGGTCCCAATCTTAGCTAGAGGCTGTAATAGCTACACCTGTCTGCGAGCCCTTGGAGGATCGAGCTGACCCGGGAATGGAAGCCTTGCAGGAGATCTGGGAAAGCAGCAGACGTGGGATCAGCAGAACCTGGCGTCTAGACGAAGGTGCCGTACCTGCATTCCTTCCAGAGCGACTCATCCCAGCGGGCTTAAGGTCGCTGTTGAGCAAGACATGTGGGAGTGAATCAGAGATCCGACACGAGTGCTCTCGCTCCGGCAGGCCTCGGCAGATGGTCGATCTCTACGCTGGAGCGCCACATGTCAACATCAGCCGACCACAAACCCCCCAGCGTCCCCCTCTATCCTGTCACACTCATAGGCCACACGTTAAACACCACACGCAAACCCCCCAATCATCTAATTACACTATTTGAGACAAGCATGTCATTTTAGGTTAGTAACTCGCCATTGAAGAGTTGACGGAGTCTGCAATTTGAAGGAAAATCACATACGAGCGCTGCTGTCGGTGCATTTAGGCCGTGCTGCGCTAGGCTAAAATGAAAAGGCTAGCTGACGTCACAGGCGCGAGTTGAGGGCCACTGTGAGGCAAGAAATGAAAAGCTTGGCCTGCGTACTTTGGGCTTTGAAAAAAAACGGGTTAAAGCAGGTCAGGAGCGGAGATGAAAAGGCTGGCTGTTTGACTGCGGGTAATTCTTCATGTGTCGGTTTTTAAAGATGTTTAGTGAAGCCTTTCGATCTTATTTGGAGATCGAGAAGTACTTTAAACTCCTCCGAGCCAAGAAACAGCAGGCCGTTCCTTCTAAACGTGAGCTTTGTGCAACATTTGCGCAGGATAAATGCCGATATAACTCACCTTGCCTTGCCAACCATCTTTATCACACCAGTATTTTTTTAGGACGAGGCAGTCCCCGATGAGCAGTTACCTAGTACATGATTTGCGAAGTTTTTAACCTTTCACAATTGCAAAACATTGCATCACAAAGGAGTAAATCACACTGAAACATTGAAACCATTCATTTTGCAAAGGTTAACAGTAACTGCTTAATACATCGGGAACATATGAAGGGGTTCAGGGAGATTTATAGGCCGGCGGATGACTCTGGAGATGAATCAGAGACGATGGTGGTCCAAACGATTTAATCAAAGGTGTTTTGGGTTATTTTCAGTCATCGCAGAGATTCAGCAATTGCCTTGGAGTAAGAAGCTTCTCGGTTACACTAAAGAGGTGCTTAAGGGTATCTTGATCACAACAAAAATATTTAAAAAAAAAAGATCATTTTTTATAAACAATGTGAGCATTTTCAGCATAACATAATTAATAAATTAAATAATAGGGTCATAAACATTAATTATTGAGACTGTTCAGCAAAAAATAAATAACAAGTGGTTGCTTTAGAGAAGAAAACTTCTGTTAAAAATAAAAACAATATTAAAAATAAACAAGGAATAATAAAAATAACGTAATTGAGACTTTAGAAAATTTAATGAATAAAATAACAGATTTAGCTATAACTTTAGAGAAAAATGCTAGATTACACAAAATAAAAATATTAATA